CATATAATGAATGTGTTATGGTTTATTCCCTGTGTAGAAAGTAATAAGGATTCTTGTAAAACTTTTTGGTCACTGACCATAAAATCTACATTTGATATTTAACATCATATATTTGAAGCAATGTAAAAGAATATATTTTTAAAAGCACAGTTGAAAGGCCAAAGCAGTAGTAAATTAAAACCTCCAGAGTTTATTTTTACTAGCCTTGTCCAGGAATTAGCAGAGGGATTTCCACAGGCATTGCACCAGTCCCTCCAGTGCCTTTATATATTCTTCCTGACTCAGTGCAGCTTCTCCAAGGACCGGAACGCTGTGCGTTGTGGGAACTGGCCCCCGCTGCTCACGAGTGCATTGAAGGGAAAAGAGACAAGCAAGGAAAGCTCAGGTGCCTTTGACGTTTTCCCTGCAGTTTAGGATATAATCGCTGTTCCCATTCGGATTATGCTTAAAGTAAGTTTTTATGACCTATTTATTTTAAATATAATTTGAAAGCTAGAAACAAAGCATGAGATTTCTGTCATTTATTTTATTTTTCATTTATTGTCATGAGTACAGGAAGACAAGGATATCCCTTCAAATACTGACTGGAATTGACTGATACTAAATATGTGAGTTCTTCCTATTTTATTTTCCTTTCTCCATCTTTTTCTTTTTTCCTTTTTTATTTTTGCATGCTGAGCCTATGTAAAGTCATTGCTTGAATAGCTGTATAATCATTTATCTTTACCTATTTGCTTTCCAAGGTAATTATTTTTTCCATGAATATGTATTCTAAAAATACATCTGCTTGATGACTGTTTCTCTTAGAAGTTTTACAACTTCAATTGATGTCACAATTTGTCATTTTAATAGTTTATACAACAACTTTAAGAGGTCTGTTCCATAAGAAAATGGAATATGAGAATGCTACCTTGAAATCCTGGTCTCAAACTTGGGATTGCTAGATGCTAGTTCAGGAGGCTAAGAGAAATTGTGGAGTCTTTTGTACTCTACTTTGTATAGAAAAGCAATGATTAAAAAGCTATAAAAGTTTGAAAAAATCAATTACATAAGACAAGCAATGAGCAGAAGATTAGAAAAGGATGGAAAATTAATTGATGATTTTGATAAGCTGATAAATGACTTATTTAAATCACTGGATTTTATAAAAATTAGTTCTTGGCAGCTCAGAAGAATCCATGAAAACTATGATTCCTCATTTTCTTAAGAGGATATACATACCTATGGAATTCGAGAGACTTTTTCCTAGACCTCGTATCAGAGAATGGCAGGCAGATCTGCACTGGCAACTCCATTCCTTGCTGGATTGCATCAGAGGTTTGTAATACTTTGCAATAATCCCTGATATTTCAAATGAATAGTAACATAATGGGAAATTGTAGAGGCTACAGTTGGAAAAGTTCAAATTAAACAATTAACTGATATTTCTTTAACAAAGCTAGTTCAAACACATTATTAAAATTAAAATTACAAAATCACCTAAGTAAAATATAAGGATAAAATAATTATTTTCTTGATGTAGTAGATTCTATTTTTCCTAATTATAAAGACAGATTATATTTTTGCTTTTTCCTTTTCTACCCCCTTTTAGAGGTTATTGTAAGGCAGGGTGAATATTAGTGTCCTGACATCCCTTTAGGATGCTGAACCATGTAGATTTCCTTAATGAACTTTTTGCAGCAGAGATGATGATTTCAGGGAACCAGACATTTTAAATCTGGTAGCATGTTATTGAGTCCATGCACGTCAGAGGCTGTGAACCTTGCTGCAGCACACCCTGACTACTTGGTGTCCTCTGTTATGAATCTATTGTTTCCTTCCATTACAATTAAATAAGAGCTAGTAGTGTTAGTTCTTCAAAACAAGGAACCGTGAAAAAGAGCAAATTATGAACTTGAGTTCTCAGTAATAGCAGCTGCTAGATTTAACAGATCATCTTGGAATTTATTTAAATCTATTCAGGATTGTAAAAGTATAACTAGATGTTGTATGTTGATATGAAACCAAATTCAGATAAAGGTGTCTACATTTTTCTAAATGTAGTAATTGAGGAAACAGTGTGGTAACTAGTGAAGACCAAGTTGTCAACTTTACTGAATTTCACTAAAGGATCATGGTTTACTTTTTATTTTGTTTAATTTCATTCATTGTGTATTGTGTTCTTAAAGCATATCATAAAAAGAGTTTTTAAAAAATAATTATTAATTTATGAATTAACTTATTAATTAATTAAGTTATGGAAATAATACTGAAATGTAATCTCTTTAGTATAAATAAATCAAAATATTGCATAGCCCTAAAATCTCCTTTGACCATCACTCCCTTCATTTCTGAAAAGCCAGTCTTCCCTTCCTCATCTTTTCCTATATTTACAAGCACAGAGGTTCTCATAGAAACCACATGGTGTTCTATGGGTGTCATTTTTTTTAACATGCAAGTTATACTGTGACTATCTTTGTGCATTTAATTATTTTTGGCGCAAAAATATATCTTAGTGATTTTTTTTATCATGGTAAATGTGGCTTATGGAGCCAACATTTAAATTTCTGTTTTGCTTTTCCATAATAAGATCATACCACTCCTCATTTTCATCGTAATGTAGGTATTTAGATCACTTCTATTTCCCACATTCAAATGTGTCTATCTGCAGTGATATCCTTCTGAATGCTTTCTGCGGTAGTTTTGGTATGGCACTCATTGCAATTTTATATGGACTGCACATCAAATTTTATTTTTATGACACTGATGAGTGGGAATAGTATTTCATTCTTGTTTAATTTTTATTTTCCTGATTCTAATAAGATTGAGTACTTTTACATATGCTTTTGACCATTTGTAATTTCCTTCCTGTGTATTGCTTACTCAAATATTTTGCTCTTAGAATATTGAGTTACTTATCTCTGTATCATTCATTTGCAGGATTTACAAATACTCCAATTTTCACTTTAAAAATACTTGTTCTTATAGAATTTTGTGAAACAGTAATTTTAAGTGTTTTTTTATGAATTAATTTTTTGTGCTTTGCTTTAAAATGCTCCGGCTTCAGATATAAACCCATTCTACTTATTTCTCAATTTTTTTCTAGTTTTGTTTAATACACTTGTATCTTTTAACCATGGGGAATATAAATGTTTGTGCCTTTGTGAGCAGTATTCTTTTCCTCCAGACGCAGATGTCACGTCCTAATACCAGTTGCTAGAAACTCCACTATTTCACAATTTAAAATTTCAGCTTAAACACAGAATAAATTCGAATATATTTATGTTTATTTATTGTCTGTCTTCAAGACAAGCAATTTTTCTTTACCACCAACTTTTTAATTGCCAAAACTTCATGATATACTTCTCAATTCTGAAAATGGATGTATGTCCTCTTTGTTTTTTCTTTTAAATAGTTGGCTTAACTCTTCTGGGTATTAACTGTTTCTGAATTTTGGAATCAGTTTTTCAAATACATGAAAACTTTAGTCTGAATATTTGTTTTGCCTTTGAATGTATTGATTAATTTGCGAAGAATTGACATCTTTTTTTATACTGATCCTCTTTAAGCATAAACATGGTATATCTTTTTACTTGTTTCAATCTTTTTATATATTTTAATACAATTTTACAGTCAATGAGGGAATTCTATTTTAAGGAAAGAATAGGTAATGCACAGTGAAAAGTATCTTTAACTCTTTATTTTAAAGAAATCACAACAAAGCTCAGAGAAATTGCAGTTGACATCTTGTTTGTGTGACACTTATATTTCCAGAGATTTTGCAAGAAATTAGACCACAAGGTGTTGACTTGAGGTTCATGGATGGAACTCATATAAAAAGTCCGTGAGTTCCCTAAAATCCTATTAAATGTATGCTAAATGGCCATTTTTCTAAGACAAATTCTAAAGAATATGAAATGAAAGTCATTGTTCAATGGCTATTACAACCATTCACAAAGAGGTTGCCAAATTTCATCAGGTTATAGGGTTTATTTTTTTACAAAATTGAGCCTTGAGTTTTATGATACATTTTTTATTAAGTTGCCAAAAGAAAGTAAGAGATGTAGTGTAACATTTTGCACCAAAGAGACATGTTCTTTTAAAGTAAAATATTCCAGGACACAAGCTCATGAGTGTGTAGTAAGCCTGGCAAGGAAAGAAAGTGGTGCAATTCAAAGAGATGCAAGGTGATGAAACGGAGGAAGTGAAAAAGAATCTACAGGTACAATTTGCACTCCAAGGATGCAGTACTGAAAAGGAGTGCCAGAAAGTGTGATTAAAGGGCAAAAATAAGGGGAACTCCTGGGTTAGACTGGAAAGTGAACTGGGAAGTAACATCAATTCCAGGAAACCATAAATGTCCCAGAAGCCCATACAATGGAGCAACCCTATCACCAATAATCTGATTGTTGCTCTTTCTCTCCACTAGTTTTAAAAAAAATGTTCATGAAAAGGATCTGAAGCCACTTTCTAAAATGCTCACCCAGACGTCTGGTAGTTAAAATTACGAGGTCACTGAAGCCTGATGACATTATGGGACTTTCAGGATTCAGCCGAGATTTAGTCACTGGGAAGGACTGAGAATAATAGTGATCTCCCTGGCCTTGGAGAACAAAGAAACGCACTGCTGTTATATACAAGCCAAAGAATCAAAAGTCACTCTGAGGTGTAATACTGAAATTGTATCACAAAATTACCTGAAATACATGTTTAACCTTTTAAGTTTTCATCCTGTTGCTCATGGTAAGTCTGAGGCTTTGAGATTGATCAAAATTCCAATTAACTGGTGTTATTTGTGCTATTTTTCTGACTATATGACTTCTTTAATGAATTGTACTCTATTTGTGGGTAGAAACTGTGCATACTCTGTACACTGCTGTGCCCTTAGCACTAACTGATTGTATCATAAACAATAATCATCTTTATTGAATAAACAAATGACTTTAAAAACAATAATTTTAAAATATTGATGTTTCAGGTATATTAACTGCCACTTCTAAATGATCAAGCCCGCAGAAGCAATGGGACATGAGAACATCACAGAATTTATCCTCCTGGGACTCTCTAGAGATGAGGACGTGGAGGTTGCCTGCTTTGTGCTTTTCTCACTTTGCTATATTGCAATTCTCTCAGGAAACCTGCTCATTCTTTTCACCATCAGGGGCAGCCGTCTCAGTGAGCAGCCCATGTACTTTTTCCTCAGCTGCCTGTCCTTCATGGATGTCTGTTTCACCTCCACAGTGGCCCCCAAACTCATCACAGACTCGCTGGCTCAGAGGAAGACCATCTCCTACAACAGCTGCATGGCCCAGATGTTTTATGCCCACTTTTTTGGTGCTGCGGAGATCTTCATCTTGGTGGCCATGGCCTATGACCGCTATGCAGCCATCTGTAGACCCCTCCGCTATACTGCCATCATGAGCAGACGGGTGTGCTATGCCCTTGTGGTGGCCTCCATTCTCGCGGCATTTATCCACTCAATCCTGCACGTATTGGTCATCACGGTGCTGCCCTTCTGTGGCCCCAATCAGATAGACCACTATTTCTGTGACATATTCCCCTTGCTGAAGCTGGCCTGCACTGACACTAGCCTTCTGGTTATTGCGATCATCGCCACAACGGGGGTGCTGTCCATTTTGACTTTTGTTGCCTTGGTAATTTCCTACGTCATCATCCTGTCCACCCTGAGGACCCGCTCGTCCGAGGGCCGCCGCAAAGCCCTCTCTACCTGCGGGTCTCACGTCACTGTCGTGTTCATGTTCTTCCTGCCGCTCATCTTCACCTATGTTCCCATGGCTGATTCTGTCAGTAATGACAAGGTGTTTTCCCTATTTTACACCATGATTGCCCCCATGTTCAACCCTCTCATCTACACACTGAGAAACACAGACATGAAGAATGCCATGAGGAGAGTGTGGTGCCGACACAGACTGTTTGAAGGGAAATGAACCGCTGGTGGTCCAGCCCTTTGCTGGATCTGTTCTTTCCTCAGAATCGATGTGCGAACAATAAAGCCAGTGCAGGGGTGATGTGCTGTCATCCAAGGTTGCAAGCCTTGAAGAGGAAGCCCTCTCAGTCATGCATTTCCCGTTATGCTACTGCCCTGAGGCTGTAGCCAAGGGAAGGGGACCACACAACCTGAAGGTTCCTTCCAGCACTGACCTTCTGCCACTTAGGTCTGGCATTCTGGAACATTCTGTGCTTTATGATCACAGGCAGAGTGGGTATTAGAGTAATTTTATCAGAGGACATTGTAAAGACTGCATAGTTGTGCAATTGTGCCCTGCTGTAGGACACAGATACCTTGACTGAGACATCTCTCACAGACAAAAGGAGGTGCTAAGCCCTCTATTTTCCTGAGGTTTCCATTGCAGTAAAAAAATAAAGCAATGCAAAAATTTACAACTGTTGTTGTCAATTTTAACACTTGCACTAACAAATCATGCTTCTAAAATAATGCAGCGCATGCCGTTAGACTGTCCACACTATACTTAGAGAAACCGTTATGAAGTATTCTTGGTAACCTATTGGTGGTACAGTCCAGGAATTAGAAGTTTCAGATTGGTTGATGAATAGCCATTTCAAATTCTATAAATGTAATTCAATGACTGTACTTATAACTTCATTTTAAATTCTTCATGAGTATACAAACTGATGCTTTTTGTAAATAGGTAACCTAGAAAAGATCCCACCCTATGAAAGGACCTGAGCTCACAAAAACATTCAGCTGAACAGATGGGTGTTCTGGCTGCATTTAATTAATACTCAAAGCACTTTATGCTAAAGGCATATTTTGAGGTTTTCTTCCACCATTCAAACTAAAAACTGGTTCATCAACTGGGATCATCTTTGGTACATTGAGGAGTTCCCTTATTTGTACAAGAATACTTAAGTAAAAGGACACCTGAGAACTGAGGCCTAGAGAGAGTTTACACCAACTTTTCACATATGAGACACACAGATCCAATATTTTTCTGGTGCTCCATCCTCTTGACGGCACCACTAAGAAATTGAAATGCGTGCATTTCAGGTATTACTGCTGACAAGAATCCAAGTTTTAAGGTGGGCAGTGCATTTACAGAAATTAGCCAAGGTTGATGAAGGTTTCAGCAGTATTTTTACTCTTCCAAAATGACCCTAACAGTGTACTGCCTGGATGATTAAGGAACTTAGAACCTCAGGAGAGGCAGGAAAATAATGAAGTACACTGAAAACGAGATGCGAAAGACAATAGCAGATCAAGTCATGGTTGTGTTTGATGTTGGCCTGGTGGCCAATACCTCCTGGTAGGATTGTCCACTTCTGGAAGATGAAATTGAACAGGAATGTCTAGAGCTGCTTAGGCTGATGTCTAATTGTGCTGTTACTGCTGTGTATGTAAGCCACATTTTTTGGTAATGAATTAAATGTGCTTATTGTGTCATGTTTACTATGTGGTTTCTCCCAAAAGAAGATGGGTCTTTCAGAAGTCTCTTTGAACATGCCTCACATTTATCTTCTGTAAACTCTCTTCTTATAATTTATCAACAAAGGAGGAGTTAAAGGAATCCTCCCAGGCATGGGTAACATTCTGCCCCTCCCTTCCTATGTGTTCTCCATGGACAAAATAGTGGGAGACAGGCTGGCTGCATAGTTAGGTATTGATGCTTTGACATTTGTGTGTATAATGAAGGTTATATGCTGTCTCTCATGTCCACTCTCTCTAGCTTGGCCTTTTACACTCTTCCATCCAAGTAACATGCACTAAAGGTATTAGAAGTTTTATCAATTTAAGAATGTGCCTCAGCAAGGAAGGCAGTACAGCACAGAGAAGGCAAGTAGTGATTCTATGGCATCTTAATATGCTGATGGACAGTGACTGTAATGGGGTATGTGGTGTGGACTTGATAGTGGGGGGAATCTAGTTACCATAATATTGCTCAGGTGATTTTATATTAATTATACCAAAATAAAAATAATTAAAACTAAAAATAAAAAAAGAAATCATAAAAAAAAAAGAATATGCCTCAGAATCCACACTTCTGCAACTTGACCTTGCTGTTCTTGGGTCAGCCAGATTAATAGTGCCATGTAACAAGCCATCTTACCTCTTGGGGCTCATACAATAAGCATTTAATTCTCACTCATGTGTCCATGGGCAGCTGGTGTCAGCCTATATACATTGGGCTTGACTGGCCTTAATTCCAGACCTCAGGGTGGGCTCAGAAATATGCCATGTAGCTTTTATTATTCTCCTGTATAAAGTGGCAGTGTTGTCTTAGTCTTTGCTGAAATTGTAGTGTTTGACCAAAGATTGACTGTTATGCAAGCTCAGCATCATCTCTCTCTCTCTACATTGTGGATTGAGTTTTTACACTAAAATGTAAACAGTATTTTGATGATCTGAATGGGCTCATACAATAAGCATTTAATTCTCACTCATGTGTCCATGGGCAGCTGGTGTCAGCCTATATACATTGGGCTTGACTGGCCTTAATTCCAGACCTCAGGGTGGGCTCAGAAATATGCCATGTAGCTTTTATTATTCTCCTGTATAAAGTGGCAGTATTGTCTTACTCTTTGCTGAAATTGTAGTGTTTGACCAAAGATTGACTGTTATGCAAGCTCAGCATTATCTCTCTCTCTCTACATTGTGGATTGAGTTTTTACACTAAAATGTAAACAGTATTTTGATGATCTGAATCAAGTGATGAAGTTACATCATAGCTCATAATGAAACAGAACCAACTGGTCCCCATGAAAGAAGTGGACACACCAGGACACTGTAAAACTGAGGGGTTCCCACACAGGTCCCATAAAAATGATGAAGTTCTGGAGACTCTGACAGGTGGTAAATGTTTTAATCTTCTGGATATGCTTAAATGAGAAAAGGGGGCATATGGAGGATTGTGGAAGCTATCTTTATATATTCAATTGAGCAGTGCATGGAAGCATGATTGAAATATGTAGTTGCTACTCAAGGGACAAAAGGAAAACCATTGGTTAGAATTTAGAGACATTGTTTCCACACTGAATTAAGTCAATTCATTAATCTGGAAAATGAGGAGGTTGTCATTTATTTTCATCCACGAGGCTCTAATCCAAGTCACATCTTCCATCTTGTAACAGTGAGGTAGTAAAAGTAAAAAATGATAAAACTACATGGATGTCAGCCAATTTGGTGATCTCACACCTATGACATGAAGTGATGCTGTTGACAGAATCACTACAGACTCACGTCCTGAACTGGGTGAATTTTGACTTCTCCCGATTCTGGGTCACCTACCGCCAAGGAACCAGGGGGAGGTTCTCTGCTCCTCTGACTGGGATTGTTCTAAGGAACTTTGTTTACACAGTCCCTGGAGGAACCTTGGGTACTACTTCATATATTCCACTTCTTGCTCTTTGAGATGAATGAATCTGTCAGCTTTTACCTTCTTAGGGACTGCAGACCATCAGTATCACTAATATCCCTTGATAGTGAAGACTTTAATGCAAAGACATAAAAGAAAGTGTATTGTGGAGAATGATTATCAAGTGGGTAACATTCATCTATTCCATTATTTTATAAATCCAGGTCAGGGTGCCTCTCCTCTGTGTCGGGTAGCAGAACAGATGGGGCTGTACATCAGAGGGAGGGCTCTGTAGGTTTCATGGACTCATAGGCCCCTTGCACTCCATGAACATCAAGTAACTGGTCCCAGTGCTCCCAGATCTGAGTTCCCTGATGTGCCACTGCTGGTATAAAAATTATCAGAGGAACCTGTTAAAAACACAGAGATTTCTATACCTTTAACTCTGCCCTTCTGGATCAGAAAGTCTCAGAATAGATACTGTTCTGCTTCAAAAATCCTTCACGATGAGATAAATTTGAGCAGCACTGACACAGTCATCATTTTACGACTGAGCAAGTGCAGCCCCATAGATATCCAGGGTGCGTCGAAGCTGGATCAATAAACAAATATTTGTGTGATTCCAGGGCTAGGGTTTCTTAATGGTAACTTGTAGTCCAGATGTCTTGCTGCCTTTGACCTTTATCTTTAATGTGACCTCATCAAAATCAACATCAAAGGTCTTTCTTTTAAAGCACTAATTATACGCTGTCCTTAACATAATTTGTGTATATAAACAGACACATTCCATAGCCATAAACACATACCCAGGGATAGGCAGTAACTTGAATAATCAGATTGTGGTAAAGACAATGAAACAATAGCAGAGAGATGATCAGGGATGTGTTTATTTGTTAAAGGAAGAAAAGCCCAGCTTGCTGGATGTGAAGGATGAATGTATCATTAGTTTAAGTGTCATTTCATATAGGAAAGACATATTTGCTTGTTTGGAATGAGTGTCTCTGGAATCCACAGCTGGAAATCAGGTTATGTTAGTAAAAGAATCAAATGGCCTCACTGTATTGAGTTACGCTCATTAAGGGAAATACATTTTCCTTACCATGCATTTCAGCTAATTGTGATTACCATGTAGATAGACTCAGAGTGACCTATATATCATGGATGTCTTTGTTTTCACTCATTTTCTTTAGTGTTTTCTAGTAGTCATTTACACTAGTAGGGACTGCTGCCTACAGACTACAAGGAGAGATTAGACTCAGGAGGAGCACATTAGTGGGATGTTAATATTAAAGTGGGCATTTTAGAGGTAATCCTTCTCCTAATTCCTTATCATTTTTATTTAAAAAGAAAAATATAAGTCTTAGAGAAAAGAAAAGCTTTTCCCAAGAGGATGAGAACAGGTCTTCTATTTTTTTAAGCCTGTGATTTTTCTCTTTCACATCCTGCACTCACCTTCTTGCCATTCCAACCTACTGGGCTCAGTTTTCACTGTGTTTTGGAAGACTGACATCAGAATGCTTTAGCTCCAAGAGCTGTTATATTCCCTGAATGCTTTTTCTGTTCACACAATATATATGTATTGAATGCAACTATGATCATGCTGAATTTCTGACATGAATATGAAACATTAGAACCAGTATAATCAATTATTATCACATGTTTTATAATAAATAATTATAATTAGATAAATAATACCTTCTTTCTGTAGAATGTGTTATTCTTTTGTGTGTTCCTCCAAGGAAACCCTGTACGGTTGCTATTACTCCCTTCATTGTACAGATGGGGACATTTAAGAGAATCCAGCTTAAATTGTTACTTTTACAACTATTTTCCATTAGCCTCCCAGAAAACCTTCCTGTCCCACAGTTTCTTCATTGCATTCTTTACTTCTGCGTTTCTCAGTGTATAAATCAGGGGATTTAACATGGGGGTGATAATTGTGTAAAATACAGCCACCATCTTATCTTCTCTAAAGGTAGTATCAGGGCGCATATACATGAAAGTACAGGGACCAAAGAAGATGATGACCACAGCGACGTGGGAGCCGCAGGTGGAGAGAGCTTTGCGCCTGCCTTCTGCTGACTGCTTTCTCAGGGACACCAGAATGATGGTGTAGGAGATCAGCAGGATAACAAAGCTCCCCAGGGCGTTGGTACCACTGTTGGCTGTCACAACAGCACCCACAAGTTATGTGTCTGCGCAGGCAAGTTTCAGGACAGCGTGCACGACACAAAAGTAGTGATTGATCTCTCTGGGCCCACAGAAGGGCAGCTGGACTACCAGAGCCACCTGGACAGCGGAGGGTAGGAACCCACCTGCCCAGATTCCCCGCAACGTCTTAGTGTAGTGCAGGGATTTACAGATAGCCACATAACGATCATAGGCCATTACAGTGAGGATGAAGATCTCAGTGCAACCTAAGAAATGGGCCCCAAAGAGTTGCAACATGCACCCCACATAGGAGATAGTTTTTCTCTTGGCTAGTAGGTCAACAATCAAGTGGCTTTGTGGGTGAATTCTATCATGAAGAAGAAAAGTATCTATCCTTCTTGAGGTACTCTAAAATATAGAAGAGAAGGGAATACTTCCAAATGCATTCTCTGAGGCTAGTACTACTCTACTAGCTAAACCAGACAACAACACTATAATAAAAGAAAATTATAGACCAATATCAATGATGAACATAAATGCAAAACTCAACAAAATATTAGAAAACCAAATTGAAGAATACATCAAAAGGATCATCTACCACTACCTAGTGGGATTTATTCCAGGGATTCAAGATGGTACAATATTAATAAATCAATGTGCTACACCAAATGAAAAAAAAAGGAAGGCTGAAAACCATACGATCATCTCAGTAGAAGGTGAAAATCATTTGACAAAACTCAACATCCATTCATGATAAAAGCTCTCAACAATGTGGGTATAGATGGAAAATACCTCTACACAATAAAGGCCATTTATGACAAAACTAGAGTTAACAGTATATGCAATGGTAAAAGCTGGAAGCTTTTCCTCTAAGATCGGGAGCAAGAGAAGGATGCCCACTCTCACCACTTTTATTCAACATAGTCCTGGAAGCCCTAGTCACAGAGATCAGACAAGAAAAAGAGATAAGGGGCAAACAAATTGGTAAGAATTAAAACTGTCACTATTGCATATGACATACCATATGTAGAAAACCCTAAAGACTTCAACAAAAACAATTAGAGCTGAATTCAGTAAAGTGGCAGAATACAAAATCAATTCTTTCATGAGTGTCTTATACTCTAAAGAGTATACTCTCATGCTCATGGATAATAAGAATTATTTTTTATAAATGGCATCCTGCCCAAAGCAATTTACAGTTTCAATGTAACCCCTATCGAAACACCAATAGCATTTTTAATGAACTAGAGAAAATAATCCTAAAGTTCATATGTAACCACGAAAGACCCCAATAGCCAGAGAAACCTTGAGAAAGAAGAACATAGCTGGGGTATCTCAATTCCAGAATTCATGCTATACTACAAAGCTACAGTGATTTAAAGAGTATGGTACTGGCACAAAAACAGACTTGTAGATTACTGGAATAAAATAGAGAGCCCAGAAATAAAGTCATGCATAGGTAGACAATTATTGTATGACACAGGAGTCAAGAATATGCAATAGGTAAAAGATGGTCTCTTCAATAAATGGTGTTTGCCAAACTGGACAGCTAAATGCAAGAGAATAAAACTGGATCACTTTCTAACACCATACTGAAAGGTAAACTTGAAATGGATTAAAATACTAAATATAAGACATGAAACGATAAAGCTCTTTGAAGGAAACATATGCAAGACTCTCAAATATCAGCACAAATAATTTTTTTCTGTAGACATCCTCCTGGGCAAGGGAAACAAACTAAAAAATGAACAAGTGGAGGAAAAAAGATGGTGGCATAAGAAGTGAGGCATAAATCTCCTCCCAAAACCACATATAGTATGAAAATACAGCAAGTAAAACTATTCCTAAAAGAGTGACCAGAAATAAGATTGTATCAGGCAGTTTGTATATGGGAAAAGAGAAAAGAAAATCTACATTACAGAAAATCTGCATCATGGAAAAGGGTAAAGTAACAAAACCATGACCTGGCATGACCCAAGCACTATTCCCACCGAAGCTCACCCGCAGGAGGAAGAGAAACAGTTCAGGAAGGGAGTAGAAGCCAAGGACTGCTAAATACCCAGCCCTAGAAATATACTCTGGGAGCACAAGCTCACACTGCATGGTGCTCTGGAATTAGAGCGGTTCAAAAGCAAGGTCAGAGACTGAGATTTCAGCCACTTGTGGAGAACAGGTTCCCTCAATCGGCAGCTCTGGGACAAAAGAAAGGTGGGCACTTTGAAAGACTTTCCAATAGTGAGAGGGCTGCTACGGGAGCAAGGAGTACACAGAGCTTGCTGCTCAGGAGAACTAACAGGTGGACAAAATTGTCCTGGTACACTTAGCCCAGCAGGTTTGGAATTTCAGGAGTTTCAGGTGCTCCATCCCCCTTGGCAGGTAATGCAGCCCCAAAGGACCCCACCACAATAAGCAGCCTGCCACTCCTTCCTCCCTGCAGGCACCTGCATGCAAGCCTGCTGCACCCACCATCACCCCAGGCCAGCCAGAGTGCAGCCCCACCTATGGCAACTATGCAGGCTTAACACAGAGGCTACTCCCTGTGTGTGGTAACTGTACCTGACAGCATAGGCAGGCACTGCTGCAGTAAGCAGGAAAGAGCTCTGTCCTCCCAGCAGGCACTGGCATGGCTCACCTGTGACCCCACCATTGCTCCAAGCCAGCAAGAGGGCAGGCCTTCCTACAACAGCTTAGGGTCTTAATGCAGAGGCTGATCATTGCATGCATGACTCACTGGCCCTGAGAGCAGAGTCAGGCACTGCAGCTGGGAAGCAGGAAAGAGCTCTCTCTTTAGGGTAGGCACTGGCACCACATGCCTGTGACCACAAACATTGCTCCAGGTGCTGGGCAGCTCTGAATAACAGTGTTTCTGGGCACTAGAGGGATGCTTACACAAAACTAATATTTGTCATCATTCAGTGGGATTATGGAAAGGCAGAAGAACCTTGTTCAATCCCAAATCCATCAAACACAAGAATGAAGGCTCGTGAAACTGAAATCACCAATCTTCTTGATGCAGATTTCAAAATAAAAATCATAAACATGATAAAGGAGCTACAGAGAAATATTAAGGATGTCAGGGACAAATTCAAGAAAGAGATAGAAACTGAAAATACAGATCTGAAATGAAACATGAAATAGAGGGACTTAAAGGCAGACTAGAAGAGGTATAGGAACAGACATTAGAGAACAGGAATACAAAAAAGCTGAGGCAGAGAGAGAAAAAAGGATCTCTAGAAATGAAAGAATAATAAAACAACTCTGTAATCATTCCAAATGGAACAATATTTGCATTACAGGGGTACCAAAAGAAGAAGAGGGAGAAAAAGGGAAAGCACTTTTGGAGAAATAATAGCTAAAATTTCCCCAATCTGGGGAAGGAAATAGTATCTCAGGCCATGGATGTGCACAGATCTCCCAACACAAGGGACCCTAGGGAGACAACACCAAAACATATAACAATTAAAATGACAAAGATCAAGGATAAGGACAGAGTATTAAAAGCAGCCAGAGAGAGATAAAAGATCACCTGCAAAGGAAAACCCATCAGGCTATCATCAGACTTTTAGCAGAAACCTTACAGGAAAGAAGGGAATACATGATATATTTAATGAAATGAAACCGAAGAGCCTCAAACCAAGAACACTCCACCCAGAAATATTACCATGTAAATTTGTAGGAGGGATTAAACAATTTCCAGAGAAGCAATAGTTGAGGGAATTTACCTCTCACAAACGGTCACTACAGTGTATTTTAAAGGGACTGCTCTGGATGGAAGTACTCCTAAGGCTAAATAGCTGTCATCAGTGAAGAAAATAATACAGTAAAGGAAGGAGACCAGTTAATTCCTAACTGAATGCAAAATTAAATCAGGTACCCACAACATTAGTCAAGGTATACACAAAGAGTACAGAATATGACACCTAACATATAAAGAGTAGAGGAGGCAGAAAAAGAAGGGGGAGAAAAAAATCTTCAGATTGTGTTTATAATCATGTAATAAGGGAGTAAAATTAGACTGTTAGATAGTAAAAGAAGCTTCCCTCGAACCTTTGGTAATGACAAATCCAAAGCCTGCAATGGCAATAAGTACATATCTCTTGATAAACACCCTAAATGTAAATGGAATGAATGCACCAATCAAAAGATGTAGAGTTACAGAATAGATAAAAAAGCAAAACCCATCTATATGCTGCCTACAAGAGACTTGCTTCAAAACCAAAGACATACATAGACTAAAAGTGAAGGGATGAAAAAAGATATTTCATGCAAATAATGGGAAAAAGTAGGAGTTGCATACTTGTATCAGATAAAATAGACTTCAAAACAAAGTAACAAGAGACATTATATAATGATAGGACATTATATAATGATAAAGGGGTTAGTCCAACAAGAGGATATAACTATTATAAATATCTATGAACCCAACATAGAAGAAACCAAATATATGCAATAAATACTAAGAGAATTAAAGGGGGAAATAGAATGCAGTGCGTTCATTTTAGGGGACTTCAACACACAACTCACTACAAAACACAGATCAACCAGTCAGAAAATAAGTAAGGAGACAAAGACACTGAACAACATATTAGAAGAGATGTACTTAACAGACATCTACAGAGCACTCCACCCAAAAGCAGCAGGATACACATTTTTTTCAAGTGCACAAGGAACATTTTCTAGAATAGATCACATATTAGGCCATAAAAAATAGCCTCAGTAAATTCAAAAAGATTGAAATTGTATCAAGCAACTCCTCAGACCATAAAGGTATGAAACTAGAAATAAATTGTGCAAAGAAAAGAAAAAGGCCCACAAACACATGGAGGCTTAACAACATGCCCCTAAATAATCAGTGGATCAATGACCAAATAAAAACAGAGATCAAGCAATATATGTAGACAAATAAAACAACAGCTCAATGCCCCAACTTCTGTGGGATGCAGCGAAGGCAGTTCTAAGAAGACAGTGTATAGCAATTCAGGCAGTTCTAAGAGGACAGTATATAGCTATTCAGGCCTATCTCAAGAAGGAAGAACAATTCCAAAAGAACCATCTAAATTCACAATTAATAAAACTAGAAAAGAATAACAAATGAACCCAAAGTCAGTAGAAGGAGAACAGAATAAAGATCAGAGAAGAAATAATAAAATCAAGAAGAATAAAACAATAGAAAGAATTAGTGAAAACAGAAAAGTATTGTCAAAATGGCCAAATCTGTCAAAATCTACAGATTCAATGCACTCCCTATCAAAATACCAACAGCATTCTTCAATGAACTGGAACAAATAGTTCTCAAATTCATATGGAACCAAAGAAAATCCCAAATAGCCAAGCAATCCTGAGAAGGAAGAATAAAGCTGGGAGGATTATGCTCCCTGACTTCAACCTCTACTAGAATGCCACAGTAATCAAGACAATTCAGTACTGGCACAAGAAGAGACCCAAAAACCATGAAATAGAATAGAGAGTCAAGATATAAACCCACACATATATGACCAATAAATATATGATAAATGAGCCATGGATATACAAGGAGGAAATGACAGCCTCTGCAACAATTGGTGTTGGTAAACTGGACAACTACGTGTAAGAGAATGAAACTGGATTAATGTCTAACACCATTCACAGAAATAAACTTGAATTGGATCAAAGACATAAATGTAAGTCTTGAAACCATAAAACTGTTAGAAGAAAACATAGGCAAAAATCTCTTGAACAGAAACATGAGCAACTTTTTCCTGAACATATTTCCTCAGGTACGGAAAACAAAAGCAAAAATGTACAAATGGGACTACATCAAACTAAAAAGCTTCTGTACAGCAAAGGACACCATCAGCAGAACAAAAAGGCATCCTACAGCATGAGAGAATATATTGGGAAATGACATATCTGATAAGGGGTTAATATCCAAAATACATAGAGTTCACACACCTCAAAACCCAAAAAGCAAATAACCCAATTAAAAAATAGGCAGAGGATCTGAACAGACACTTCTCCAAAGAAGAATTTCAGATGGCCAATAGGCACATGAAAAGATGCTCCACATTGCTAATTATCAGGGAAATGCAAAGTGGAACCACAATGAAATACCAGCTCACACCAGTTAGGATGGCCAACATCCAAAAGACAAGCAACAGCAAATGCTGGAGAGGATGTGGAGAAAGGAGAATCCTCCTACACTGTTCATGGGAATATAAGTTAGTTCAACCATTGTGGAAAGCAGTATGGAGGTTCCTCAAAAAACTACAAATAGAAATGCCATTTGACCCATGAATTCCACTCCTAGAAATTTACTCAAGGAAAACAGACCCCAGATTCAAAAAGACATATGCACCCCTATGTTTATCAAGGCACTATTTACAATAGCCAAGACATGAAAGCAACCTAAGTGTCTATCAGTAGATCAATGGATAAAGGTGGTATATATACACAATGGAATATTATTCGGCCATAAGAGGAAAACAAATCCTACCATTTGCAACAACATTGATGGATCTAGAGAGTATTATGCTCAGTGAAATAAATAAGTCAAGCTGAGAAAGTCAAGTGATTTCAATCATTTATGGAGTATAACAACAAAGCAAAAACTGAAGGAACAAAACAGCAACAGTCTCACAGAATCTAAGAAGGAACTAATGGTTATCAAAGGGAAAGGGGGGGGAAGGTGGGTGGGAAGGGAGAGAGACTGGGACTAAAGGGCATTATGATTAGCACACATAATGTAGGGGGGCATGGGGAAGGCAATAGAGCACAGAGAAAACAGTGACTCTGTAGCATCTTACTACACTGATAGACAGTGACTGTACTGGGATATGTGGGGGGACTTGATAATATGGGTGAATATAGTAACCACAACATTGCTCATGTGAAGCCTTCATAAGCTTGCATATCAATAATACCTTAATAAAAAGAAAAGAAACAAAAAATAAAAAGTGTAAAGACAATAACCCAATTAAAAAGTTGACAAAACATCTAAATAAGCCCATAGAATATATGCAAATAGAGGAAAGCATATTGAAAGATGTTCAGTACCGTTATATATTAGGAAATACATGCCTAGGCCATAGTGAGATATCACTTCACACAACTAGGATGTCTAGAATCAAAAAAGACAATCAAATACAAGTGTTGGTGAGGATGTGGAGAAATTGGAATCCTCGTATATTGCTGGTGGTAACATAAAATAGTGCAACCACTCTGGGAAACAGTTTGGCAGTTCCTCAAATGTTTAAACATACAATTACCAATGACCCAGCAATTCTACATTTAAGTATCTACTGAAGAGAAATAAAAACATGTGTTCATACAAAAATTTGTATTCTAGTATTCATAGCAGCATTATTCATAATGGCTAAAATGGGGAAACAACACATATGTTAATCATCTGATAAAAGGATAAGTAATATGCTCATAATATGAAATATTATTCAATTAGGAAAATACTGATATTTTCTACAACATGCATAAAACTTCAATGACATTACACTAAGTGAAAGCAGTTTACAAAACATGACATATTATAAAATTCCTTTTAGTGGAACATCCAGAAAATCAAATTTACATTTAAAGAAAGTAGATTGTTGGTTGCCAAGGCTGCTGATGACAGTGACGGAAGTGAGTGAGGAGCTAATGGGTATGAGATTTCTT